AGCTTACAACTTTGTCCAAATGACTCATTTAATTTGCTATGTTTCCTCGTTAGACATTATCATATAAATGTGCGTTTACAACTGAATGAGAGCAAGAGAAATTGATGGTCAGTATCAATTCTGCCCATATATGTCTTCTTGAGTTGACGAAATGAACAAAGGGAAAAGGAATATTTTACAATGATTGCTTTGTATTCCAATTTTTGTTTCAGGTATCCTATCGAGAACTGAAACCCAAACTAGCACACAGCAATTCAACATGACCGGATTGTCACATGTCGAAATGAAGTCATTTAATCACGGGATTTGNCGAGCACCGGCAGCGCACAACCTTCAGGACTGGAAAAAGGTCCTCCTAAAGCCAATCGTACTTGTCCGGATCGATTTGGGAGCACTTTAGGTGTAACCACCTGTGACAACCATCGTGCCGGAGCGCTTTGGCCCCGGGCCCACAACTCTGAACCAGGCCACACAATATTCTTGCTCACTTTACTTTTCTGAGACTTTTAGAATGATATAGATCCAGTGGGGATGTAAAAATACCGCAATCCGAAGCCGATGTGACGCATGGGCCTGCCTACCCACCTTTGTCCACTTTGCCCGCTTCTGGTTGCTCAACGGCTACTTGTGTACCCTCTACAATAAACGCACTGCATACTTGACCGAGAGCTTATTTGCTTACTTAAACGGAACACAATATTTTGGCGACGCGTGCTCGAACTTGCCTAATACATCTACTTGAAAATTGCTCGGTTTGTGAGTAAAGTTCTCCAATATTAGAATGATTCTACTGCCACACCGCCCCATGCATCGTGTAAAAGTACATTACCTTACGTCTCGGTAATGAAGACAGGTTGTTCTTCGATGTACTTAATCTGCAAGACAAATTCATGAAGGATGTGTTAATTGCATTGGACAGATACTGGGGCAAGGGTGAAAATAGATTCGTAGCCCGTATAATATCCCAAACCGACTGCATTCTGTTCGTATCGGAGTTACCTCCGAAAAAATGCTGATAATATGCGCAATGTTGATTGTTGTATTCCACTTTACGGGAAAGAACTTATAAATTCTCCCCAGGAAGTCATTCAACATACATAAACTGACTTGATGCCCGGCACCCAAATCTGTACAAAGCTAAATTCGATGGTTCCATTGGTAGAGACCGAGAAAACAGAACTTAAGAGACAACGTGAATGCCACATTCCGAACCATTGTAAAGTTAACCAAGTCGAAGTCAGCCCAGATGGAAGGATTTTGAAGAGCACACAATGGGAAGGGGAAACCGACAACTACAACGTTCATGAAGGACAATAATTTGTGCACACCATGTACCAGTAAATTGATATATGGTTCGATTATTAGGACAAGATGAAGGTATGCGCCGTTTATCAATCTTCAACCGTCCAAACGTCCTCCCTATCAACACAAAATGGACTATGCTAACAGAGAACCTTCGGGGACGACACTAAGGAAAACAGGAAAAATTCCATTCCCCATGAATGTGTACCGCAGTTGTGCTTGGAACCGTAATACATGGTCGTAGACAGGCTAGTATCCATAATTGCATCTTTCATTTTTTTGTTTCTGTGAAATACCTCTTCGGTTTATTTGTAGGAGGTAAGGTGATATGGTGACCTACAGCTGATTGCAACGCGTTTCTTACATGCCTAAACGAACATTTATAGATGTATTGCGGTTGTCGTTGCTTTTCTTCCCTGAAGTAATTATCTTATTATTTTTGAAAGGGGAGGTGATGTTGTGGCATACAAGTGAATGGTAAGTTTGTCGCGCTTGCCTGTCGTCGGATTGATTGATTGACAGATGCTGCGAGTTAGCACGGGTGCAGGCACTCACTCGCTATGCGGACTCTACTACAACACCGATCGCTGCAGCCAACCAGATATTAGTACTGAATTGTTCCCACGCTGATGGAACGGGACATAACAGTTCTATTGTCTCTTCGACGATTGCCTATTGGACTGTCTCCGGTTAATGTTGTGAATGTCGGGTACACAATGTGAGTAGAACCGAGCACTTTTTTATGGAACACAAAGTCGAATTTAGGGGTCTTTCTTAGGGAGAGATTCATCATCATCATCATTGTACAGCGAAATACAGTGAGCTGAACTTCACTGATCGTTGCCAAACTCACAATGCATACAAGATTAGTGGTACAATTTAAGGTGGACAGGGAGTGGACCTATTTTGAGGGAGGGGGAAGAAGGTGAACCTCTATGGTCAACACACAGAGTACGCAATCAGACTCTGCATACATACCGCTTCAAGCATTCTGACCTGATAAGAAACAACAACAAGAATGCCACTGCTCTCGGTTCGCTGCCATATCCCTCGATGTCTCAAACCCACCGGTTGTGGAGTCTTTCGGACGGCAACCTGGAAGGCGCGAGACACCTTATCTACCTAATGGCTCTGTGCAATGCTTCATGCCTCGTCTCCACGTCATCTGTTGACCTCCACGTGGTTTCCTCCAGCCCAGATTAGCTATAGCGAATAAAGCGCGGTGCGGCAAACGACAGCTGTGCGCAGAAATTGGCGATTGTTGGATTTTCAGGGAATCTTCTAGTGGATCAAACGATTAATTATTGTAACCACAGAATAGACAAACAGACTGTCAAGCTGATTATCCCTGATTAAGGACGTTCACAAAAAATGACCCACTTTTGCAAAGTAGATGTTTGGCTCTATACCTCGCCTGACCTGGCGGGGCCTTAAGCTGTTCGCTACTCCAAGTCCCAGGGATCAGGTTGCCGGTTACCATCACTGAACAGCAGGTCTTCGTGATTATGGGATTCCACGCCGTCTGCTGTCCAACCCACATCGGTGTGTAATAAGAAATCTTATTTACCCTTTCCATTTGCTGTTGTTCTAGTAAATACCTTTCCTCAACCTGGCACTGGTCTTGTGCATGTATAACAGTAGTATGAGCTCTGAAACACATGCACTTGCCAAAATCAGGATTTTCGCGTGGCAGGATATGCGTGTACTAAAGATTCATTGTTTATCGTGTACTGAAGCACTGGTCGAAACTGCAACAGCCAACTGTAGCATTTTTTCGTTGAATTTAGAGCCCTCTCCACCTAAGTCAACAGACAAATTGAGATATGCTCTATTAAAGCAGATGATATACCTCCAAAACTTCTCAACCTTGTGCGAAGTTACGGTTCTACTACAAATCCAAATGGGTATGCTTCTGCATTTAAATCTGTAGAATCTACGATCTCCTGGAATGTACAGGAAGAGGTCAAAGTGTGCTTTGTTGGACCTTCCGGAAATGCAACGAGATCATTCATCAAATCGAATTACGGTATTTCGAGTACTCGTTCACCTGGAATCGACTCGTACTTGCAAAAAATGAACGTTACGCACTAAGTACGAACCAAACGAGGAAGTTTCTGACAACCAGAAACAGAACTCGATCTAAATTGGTGCTCCGATTTCGCCTGTGATTATCGCACCTGGTTAAGTGCCATATGAGATATACAAGATGCGGATTCCTCCACTCTCTGGGGCAAGCTAAATATAAGTGAAAATAAAAATATACTTGTGACCATAGGATTAACCCCTTGGTCAGTAGCAATGATACAAACTACAGAGGCGGGCCTCGGCGGACAAAGTGTACCAAACACTTACTCTGTTCGGTCTTCAAGCCAACTGATGGGCCTGGCACCCGCACGCAGACCATGAGCGTAGACAGCTGCGGTTTTTGCCAACGCTCCGTGGGATTCCAGCTCTTTGGCCCAGGTCACATAGAACTTGGCGCACATAGTTCCCACTCCCTGGCGGAATAGGAGTTCAAACAGCTCGGAAGGTTGTGCGCAATACTCAGTCTATGCGTGAAACGAAATTTGGCATAGAATGAACACGAGACAATTACTCACGATTCAGTTGGACATAAGAGAGGTTTGAAAATCGTGGTGAGTATATCTAATTTCAAATTTTTATTATGAGAAAACCACCAACCACCTACTTATCCAATGCCATAGTAACCTTACGCACTGGTACTTTAAAGCGTTATCGAACCGCGACTTAGATGAACCGATAGTTGGAGCATGAAAAACTTTGCATGCAAGAGAGTTGCAGGTAATACATACTCTGGCATCGAGAGAGCAACGCTAGTAATCTAGCCAACTCTTCCGGAGCACCAGTTCAAAGGAGTGCTGTCCCTTAAGATTGTCGTTTGTAGTGCTAGATGTGATCACCATTCCCAAAGGCTTTTCGTCTATACCGCATCAGAGCTGGACAGGCTTATATGGACTTCAATACGCATCTCACTTGAACTCACCCAACCCATCTGCCGGTTCTATTTTTCTCTCACAGAATTTCACAAGCCTTCTGACTATCAAATACCCTGTTTGATGCAATCTGTCAGGGGACGCCAATTGAAGAGCAGTCAGTCAATCAAATATCTGTGATATTCTCAGATAAAGATAGACAAAAGAAACCTTCCCCGCAAACGCCTAAAATCAATCGGTCGAGGGATGGTCGTTTGTATAGCGCTAGTGCATACGAACTGTGCTGTCAATCAAACAATCCAGATTTGCGACATCGTTCGACATTGTGCAATGCACATTGCCACTAACTTCCGGGAACTGATCTCAAGGATAAAGAGGCCAAACACAGAAAACAACCACTTCATGATCGAATTCACAAGGTAGTGGGATGGTATTACGAGTCTACAATACACCGGGGATCTGTTGACCTCGGCACCTATCCAACGGAGCTCCCATGACTATTGGCTGGTACGTTCCAAATCTCAAAGCGACTGGTAATCCTTGGATCACTATATATATATATATACCGCATCACGGCACGTTACCTCTCTCAGTCGATTTGGCTGTCGGTGGCTCATCAGTCCCGGTATTGGATTCTCACTTCAGTAAAAGCACATTCTTCATGAGAACAGACAAGAAGAATTTACTAGCCGGACCTGTGAACGAAGATCATAAGGAGGCATATTATATGGAGTCGGAGAAACCGAATGCTGTTTGTTAACACACTACCGTCCGACCGTATTGTGGCATTTCAGTGTTCGAAACTGGCTATGTACGATCAAAGAAGCAGAAAATTTGTTGACATTCAGTGTAATCGGTCTCTTCCCTTTAGCTTATTTGAAACCAACTACTCCGATTTATTGACACAATACCTGACCCAAACCCGATGTTAGTACATATATACGACAAGGGTTAAATCGTTCCCGAGAGTATAAATCCCATATCGCTTCCATTTTCAGGGTTTCTTATAACCGAGGTAAAATTAGTGTGGTTGATATATTACTTTTCGATCCAAATTTGCGGATTGACAAAACTAAACAACAGCGACAGACGCCCAAAGGGAGCTCATAGTCCACGGTAGCTTTTCTATAACCCCAAAACAGATCCACGATGAAGGAAATAAGCTCGCTCCCTCCTACCTTTAGCTTGTCACCAGTTGTTCGAATGACTATTAGAACATTTCATTCTTTTTCTTGGCTATCACTAGAAATTTGATTTTGGAAAACAGCAGTCCTCTGAAAGCTCCACGTAGTTCCCAGCCTAGTTATCTATCCTCAAAAGGTAACGAGCACAAAGCAACAAACTTTTGCAAATAACTGCCAAGTGCTTCAAGCAGCTATGGCATTGTGCCGACTCACTTCCCCTACCTGCAGTTAGTGCATAGAACAACCTTCGCTGTTCAGCTTGCAAAGAAAATTGCGTTCGTAAACGGTGGCGTACATTGTTTGATCTGCAAAAACTATGACATTTTCGTCATCTCTGCTTCTGTCAACCGGCGTAACACGGTTATTTTCATTGGCTTCATTAAACAGGGTTTTCAAGGTTCAACACCGGGTTTAGCGAATGAATCCCGTTTCCGCAATTTATATTACCGATTGGATTGTGGAACTTTCGAATACCTCTTGGAGCCTTATCGTGAAATTCGTATGAAAGACCGTTGGTACACTGAATTGACATATAGTTATTTAAAGAACTTCAAACAGTTCATATTTTCATACATTCCATTTCCTGCACACCTTTACAGAAAAAGCCCTGCTCCCGATCTATGGTACACGTACTAACACACGGAAAGATGGAGAAGGGGTAACAGGTGAATTTCACCGTTGATCTTGAACTGTAAATTATTCTATTCCATGATATTTAGATGGTGAATGTTTGGATTAGCCCATTCGAATTTTCACAGGCACCAGGCATTGTTGAGGATGGCCGTGTGGCTCAAGGGTAAGGGTTTGAAGTCCCAACCCGAATGTTCGCGGTTCGAGTCCTGACAGGGACACAAAAATTACCCACTGCTGACGAGTCCCAAACAGGACGAGACAGCTGTCCAGTGCTCTTTGTTGGTTATCACAAACATTTCCATCGCAATTAAATACTTTTTATGATCACTGCGGTCGAGAAATTCTTTTCTTGTGTATTCTCTCCTTGATATCAACAACAGTGTAAGCTGCTGTGCTCGCACGCGTAATGATGAAGCAAGATGACGTGCTAAAACACTCCAGACAGGCATTGTTTTGGGACATTTATTAGGATGAGTAATTGCATGAAAACAAATTGCTGACTATTTGGGAGGGCCGGAACAATGCGATGGAATAATAATCATAATCAAAGATTACACACAAAACTAACAATAAATTAAGTACAACTAATTAGGAAAACGACACTAGCAAACGCCTTTCTGGATAAATACATTCTCAAAGTGAAACCGGAGCTGGTGAGAAAGATGAGTAGTACGATTTATGTGGAAGATTATCTAATAAATCCCGTGAGTTGTAATCTGAAGTCAGCTCGGCAACTATATACACATATGTGAAAGCAAGGTTGTGTTTGATGGAATCAATCGGCTGTTCGGGGTTTCATGACCGCTCTAAAACTCCCACCTCCGATTTGAATGCTCTCTACAAGTTTAGCTGTGGTTATGGTGAAAGCTATGGGTAAGAAAATGAGTGAATGTTTGGCCTTACGAAAAGCGGAGGGGGTGGGTGGGTGTTTATCCCGATGACCAAATATGTACGAAATCGATGTGACCTGATCGCTTAGAATTTCAAGTTGCACAAATGAACAATCAAAAATTTGTGCTGTTCTACGAAGAGGCGTTGATCGCAGCGAACAAACCATTGCTCCAAAGTGCTCAAGAACATAACGAACCCACAACTGCTTTCCTCCCCGGGTACCAAACAAACCCTGATGTTTTCCATCTACTCGCAGTCACATGATCTATCTAGGAAACATTACTACAATGAATAAATCGATATTTTTTTCATAAGTAACCGGTGTAAATACAGAAAAGCCTGACATGTTTTTGGCTGTGCTCAGATGAGGTTTTATCGAATATCACTCAGCGAAGACTTGATGACACTGTTTTGAAGAACAAAAAGTGAATTCAGTCATATTGACCAACTAATCAGTTAGATTCGGAAGTGAAAGAGAGAAAAATTACGTGTTTTTTTTTTAAATAAATGCCATTGCGAGTTGAAGTTGAACACGATTCGCTAAACCAAACAAAAAAAAACGAACAAAGAAGTGGATCTCAGTCCATAGTGAGATTTGTTCCCTGAATGACGGTATAGATTTGTGCCCCCGTGCAATTCTTTTCAGTTGTTATCCTGTCACTCAGCCGATATGGGAGAGACGGAAAAAAACCAGTAAACTATTGCCACAAGTGTGGCGGAAGACATTGCGTGTTCTTTTGTTTGTCCGACGGCCCGCCTGTCTGTCTGAGCGCGACCGAATGAATCAGTGCGCATGAGCACTATGGCCAATATAGTCAGATTGGATTTAGACTAGTTCATATCAAACAAACAGAGAGTAAGTCACCATTATAAGTAAATAAAAAACCACTCACAGGGGTATGGTCGGTAATTCTCACAACACGCTTTTTCTTGTTTGCAGTCCAGACGACCGCAAGCGATAAGGATTTTGCACTCGTCTGGCCAGGAAAACCAATACATCATTCAGATGAACTGTTTTTGCATGGCGTGGGAAATAAGAGCACGATTTTTTCGCCTTCTCCCAACAACACATCTCTTCTTAACTAGCTTAAATTTGTCAGTTAAAATCATGATCTCTCAATGTACCTATATTTCTTTGCCCTTCATTTGTTATTTTATTTCATGAGGTAAAATTTAAATCCCCCGGCAACCAAAGATTTTGAAACCTTATCTTTTAATGTGTACTGAGGATATT